GCTTCTGGACGGCCACTCACTGCGGCTGCTGGCCGCTCACGCTGGCTGCTGGCTACATACAGTAGCCCATGGCAACCCTCTGCTACAGAGGCTGCAGCCTACGCCGTCCCCGGCGACTCACAGCAGCCCAGCTCCAGGTTGAGCTGTTGTTCAGCATCTTAGCTGTGGAGGGCAGTGTCACTGGCCCTTATATGTGGGATCCAAACCGGGGCCCTCTGGTGTCCCAAGACAGTGCTTAACCATCACGCAACTCGGCCGGCCCTTATTTAAATTTTTAAAAAGATTTTTATTGGGGAATTGGGGGATGGGAACAGCGCTGGAGAATTGGGGGAAGGGGAACAGAGAAGTTGCTGTCCTTTGTTCTTCAGTCTAGTTGTGGTGGACGTTGCTTCACTGGCCGAAGTTGGCACCATCATTGCACTCTTCCTGGGCGAGGCAGATCAGTCACCAGCTTCTGGACAGCCACTCACTGTGGCTGTTGGCTACACACGGTAGTCCATGGCAACCCACTGCAGCAGGGGCTGCAGCCTATGCTGTCGCTGGCACCTCAAGGCAGCCCAGCTTCAGGTTGAGCTGTTGCTCAGCATCTTAGCTGTAGAGGGCAGTGTCACTGGTCCTCATATGTGGGATCTGAACTGGGGTCCTCTGGCGTCCCAAGCCAGCTATTAACCAACATGCCACTCGGCTGGCCCACACATATTTATTTTTATAATGGGATCGTGATTTCCATGTGTACCAGTCTTTCTATTTCACCAACTATAGAACGCATCAGAGCTTTTCTTAGTCTATTAAAAATCTTATACATCATCACTTTTAGGTGCTGTGTGGTATTACCTCAACACTTTCCATGGGCACCACCATGAAGAAATGGTCTTCCTCAGTTAAATTTGTGTGCTTTCCTATCTTATTCTTGTAACTTTTGGGCAGCATCAAAGAAATACCTATTCTTAGAGCCGCAAAATGCAATTTGTTAGCTCTTCAAAGCTTACCTCATCCTCTGTATTCCTTAGTGCACTCCTCCCAGCCACTCCATGCAGATGAAATAACTCACTCCCACTGGAACACTTTATCCAACTCCATGCTTTTGTCCATACCACCCAACTGCTTTCCTACATTTCAGAGCCCAAGTAAAATGGGTCCTTTTACTCTGAAGCATGTCCTGAGTCACCGCCCATGGTAACCTTTGCATGTAAAACTATGAGAATAAACTTTTTCAAGCGGCATATTATTCATCAATTATCTCTGTGTGTATATATGTTTCTTTTGCATGTACATTTTAAGTTCAAGAAGAAGGGTGCTTTCTGCCAACTTTATCACAGAACTTTATTGAAAACACAAACAAGACTCAAATAGACATTCAATATACTAAAACAATAATTAGAAAGGTAACTTACTTATGAGAGCTCAGTTCATCATAAGCTTTAAAAAACGAATCACAATTTGGTCAAAATACAAACATCAACATGTGTTTTCAGTTCTAATATTCATTTAGCATCAGAAAAATGATCCAGATCATACAGAATTGGGCAAAGTTAGTATGAGCATTAAAAATGTACATTAAAACAGAACCAACTGTGAAAACCATAGCATCATTCAATTATTGTAACTCAGGAACATAAGGACAATCAGAGGCAAGTAATTAATCCTACTAATTTTCTTAGTCTGCCTCAGAGTCATTCTGATCATCTGTTTTGCCTTGCAGTTCCTTAGCCAATTCCTCAACTTTGTGGAATGCAGAAATAAGTGGTTCAAGACTGAAATCATCATCAGTGAACCGGGCCTCTTTTTTGATATTGTTACCAATATTCTCCAACACTGCTAGAACAACTTGAAAATTGTTATTTGACTCTTTCATTTTAAAAAGGCCCATAAATTCTGACACTGCTTCAGCACTGAGTAGTTCTTTTGTCATGACAGGATTTTCAGACAAATTTAGTAGCATTTTTAGAACATGAAACCTTGTTTTGGTATTGCCCATGGCTAATAAGGAGAGAAACCCGGGCATATACTTGACAACCAGTGTGTGATAGTCAGTAGTTGTAGTGAGGTATCTAACCATCTTTATTCCAGATAGCTGCTCCAGGGAATCCACGGTCTGTGCAAGGGTTTCCTCACACACTTGACATATGTATGTCTGAATCCTGTTTAGATTTGGATATGGTGGAGCCATGTGAATCATATTTTCCAAAAACTGTGTCCTAATTCGGGAGGAGGGGTAATTGAGCAAGGTTTCAATAAGTGAGATGACACCCGAATCCCGAATGAAATCTCGGGTAAATTGAGAAGCGCTTCTCATACCCATTGCGATTTTAGATATTTCCTGAATAAACGGATCTCGGATTTTGTCCATTAACAGAAGGAGTTCTTCAAACTCTCCGGAACCAATTTTTAGTTCACACTGGATGCAGCTGCAGGACCAACTCGCAGGCTCTGCACTCTCCCTGGTCCTAAGGTGCTCCGGAATTTTCCTGACTGACCTGTAGGACGGCTCACACGGAAATGGGAACTCAGGGTCAGGCTGATGGGGCTGAAGCCCAGATTCCTGCTCTTCCCCTTCTAGGCTCAGTTCCATGTGCTTGGGCTTTCCTCTGAACATTTCAAAGAACAGAAATGCTGCTTCTTTTGTAATTTCAAAGGGGCTTGAGGAGGGGAAGTCAACCGTACCCCGTGGACCAGGCTTGAACTGAACAGTGACCTCCTCCCAGTTCTGGGGCCTGCATGAAGCATCAGGCTCCTGCTCAGTTGAACACCTGGACCTGCAAATGGCCCTGAGCACAGGGCTAGGATTTGATTCAAAGTGGGCCTCATCTCCTGCCCAGAACCAGGACCCCATTATGGCCTCATTCTCTTCAGCTACTGTCCTGGACTCACAGTTGGTTCCATTACCAGTCCTGTTATTGGGTTCTACTTCAGCTTGAAACCAGGACCCAACAGCTGCTCTTTCCTCATTTTCTGCCCTGGATTCACAGGTGGCCACTCTTCCAGTCTCATGAATGGCCTTGTCTCCAGACCACAACCAGGATTCAACAATCACCTCTTCATCACCCTCTGGCTTAGATGCATGGCATGTCTCTGTTTCTACATTGACTTCCTTTGCAGCCCAGAACCAGGATCCAAAAATGGTTTCCTCTTCAGTCCTTGACCTGCTCTCTTCTATTGCCTGAGACCCAACCTCTATACTGTCTTCTCCACCCCAGAACCAGGATCCAACCATGATTTCCTCATCCTCAGTCCAAAGCTTGGTCTCTAAACTAGCTGCAGCCTCCAGAGTCACATCTTGTTCAGCCCAGAACCAGGACCCAACAATGACTTCCTCCTCTTCAGCTTCTGGACCTGATTTTCTGCAAAAAACAGTCTCCTTCCTAATGGCATCTTCCCTAGCCCAGAACCAAGACCCAACAATAGCTTCCTCCTCAGCTGCCACCCTGTCCTCTTCTCTAGCCTTAGCTGCTGTCTCGAGCCTGTTCTCTTCCCCACCCCAGAACCACGAACCAATAATATCTTCTTCCTCAGTGTGTGGCCTGGATTCTTCTCTGTCTGTAGCCTCTATAATGGCTTCATTTCCTTTGCAGAACCAGGACATGATCATGGTCTCCTCCTTGGTCAGTGGCTTGGCCTCTTCTCCAGTCCCATCAGCTACATTGCCCTCTTCTGCAGCCCATAGCCAAGGCCTTATAATGGTCTCTGGCCTAGTATATTTTCTGGACCAGAACCACGAACCACATTCCTCCTCTGGCTTAGACATCCAGCTGCCTCCATTGTCAGGATACACACAGGGATTTTCTTCTGCCCAGAAGCAACACTCATTATTGATCTCTTCAGTCCCTGCCATAAATTTGCATCTGGCACCAGTCCCATATTTTATACTGACCTCTTCTGTAGTCCCTAACCATGATGATATAATAGCCTCTTCCTTGTCCTCCAGGCTAGACTTGCTGACTTCAGCCCCCACACAAGCTTCTACTCCAGCCCAGAACCATGACCCAATAATGGGCTCCTCTTCCTCAGCCCCTGGCATGGTGTCATGGCTGACTTCAGCCCCAGAATCCATCTGGACCCGGTTTCCAGTGCAAAACCAGGACCCAAATATTGTCTTTCCTTCAGCTCCTGGCCTGGCATCTTCTCCAAACTCAGCCTGTGTATCGACTTCTTCTCTAGCCCAGAACCAGGGACTAACGACCTTTTCTTCCTCAGACTTTGGCCTGGACTCACAGGTAGCACCAACACCAGCTTCCACACTGGGCTTATCATTGACCCAAAACCAAGATCCCAAAATGGTCTCTTCCTCAGCCTCTGGATTGGCTTCTTCACCAGCCCAGACACAGGAACAGGCAGTGACTTTTTCTTTATCATCTGCTAGCATAGATTTGAAAGTGGCCTCAGCCCCAGTTTTCATATTGGTCTTTTCCTCCTTCTCAAGTATGGAATTGCCAATAGGCTCCTCCACAGTCCTTGGTCTGGATTTACTGCTGGCCTCAGTCCCCATATTGGTGTCTTCTTGAGTCCAGAACCAACTGCCAACAATGGACTCATCTTCCACTTGAGGAGTGGACTTGACACTGGCTCCACCCACTATGCTAGACTCTTCTGAACCCCCAAACCAGGTCCCAATGAGGAACTCCTCCTCCGACCTAGCTTCTCGCTTGGCCCTGGCGTTGGCTTCTTCCTTTGCCATTGCTCTGGCCCTGGCTTCTTTCTTGAAGTTGGGACTAAACAAGTTATTAGCCTTTCCTCCAGGCCAGAACCAGGACTCTTTTACTTCATCTATAGACGCAGACAAGAAATCAATGGAAGCTTGTTGCTTGGCCCTGTGCCTGGCCCTAACATTGACCCCTTTGCTGGCTCTGGGATTGGACCTGGATTTGGCCTCCTCTCCAGCCACAGACCAGTACCTCACACTGTCTTCGCATTCATATCTATGGCAGAACTCAGACACTTCTTTCTTGGACCTAGACCTGGACTTTCTATTGGTCTCTTCACTGGGCCTGGACCCAATATTGGTCTTTTCTCTGTCCCAGAACCAGGATGTCTTAATAGATTCATCCTCAGAACCAGAACTGGACACAACATAGAGCTCCTGATTGGTTTTGGTCCTAGACATGGCCTCTCCTTCAGCCATTTGCCCGGACCTGGCCCCAGCTTTTACCTTATCCCTAGGACGAAACCTTGTACTGACCTCTTCTCCACTCCAAAATGAGGAATTCAGAGAGGATGTGCCCACCCATCGGAAATCACAATTGGGGTAGGCCTCTTGTTTGGATGTAGGTCTGGGCCAACACCAGGACCTGGTAGTGGTCTCTTCATCTGACCTAAACAAAGGCTGGAGTCCTGATATAGTCTTGAACTTGGTGCCAGGAAAGGACTCGGTGTCCACACTGACCAGTTCCTTATCCATAGACAAGGTCTTAGTTTTAGCAACAGACCCAGACTCAGTATTGACCAGTTGCCAGGCTATGGCATTGCTCTGAGACACTCCCTCTGTCTTGAACATTCCCTCAGCATCAAACTCTGTCTGGGCCCATGAATGGGTTTCATCCATGAACCTTGCCCAAGGAAGTGCCTTGGACTCAGTCTTAGGATGTGCTCTACCTCCTGCCAAGGCCTCAGTTTTGGGCCTTGCCCCACCTACTGCCATGGCCTGAAAATTGGGCTTTGCTGCAGGCATTGCATGGGACTCAGTTTTGGACCTTGCCCCATTCATAGCCTTACACTCAGTTTTGGACCTTACCCCACTCATAGCCTTAGATACAGTTTTTGACTTTGCCCCATTCACAGCTTTGGATGCAGTTTTGGGCCTTGCCCCAGGCATTACCTGGGCCTGGGTCCTAACCTTGGGTCTGACCACCATCGGGACTTCATTCTCTCTCTCAGCCCCACCCCCAACTTCTTCTCCAGCCTTCTTTTCAGGCTTGGCCTGGGCACCAGGCTCGATCTCAGCCCCAGTCATAGTACCAGTTACAGAGAAGATGCAGTTAAATACCAGTACCACAGTCCCCACCTCCACCTGTCACAGATCTGTCACAGTTGTGTATCTTCACACTCTGATCTTTCAGTGATTCAGGTGATAGAGTCGGAAATAAGAGTTAGAGTCAATCACCAGTCCAGCAGTCAACCAGCTTCCTTCCCAAGATCAGCCTCAGCCAATATCACAGACAAGAGTGCAGAAGAGGCACAACCAAGCAGGGGGAGGATGGGTGGTTTCCAGGTGGGTGCAGCCCTGTCAAGGGTGGTGGTCAGCAGCAATTCCAACTCCACCAGAGATGCCACTGGAGGTGGATCTAGGGAGAGAGAACATGGGGCTTTGAGTCTCTTTGAATTGTGTCACTCCATGCAGAGTCGCACACACAGAGAGTGGACCTTGAATTGTTGGTGGGGCTGTTGGGCTATTAGAAAGTCTCTGTCACACTCATTTTGCCCACAGCTGCCACTATTTGGCCTGCCACCAAACAGATGTGAGGTTGGTGGGAGAGTATGTTGGCAATGGCAGAGGCTGAGGAGTCCTGAGACTAGACACTAGTCACTCTTGGGCCTGCATTGGTCTCCACTACCCTACCCGAAGTGGTACCTACTCTCATATCAACCTGCTCAGATGTGGTGCTATTTTCCACTCTCTGATTTATTCCAGTGGCTTCAATTACACCCTAGAGCATAAAGTAGGCTGTCTCATGGAAAAGCAAATATACAGGAGAAAAAGGTGTCTGAGTGCTTGGTTGACCGACAGACTCCCTGACCCCTGATGCAAACATCTCTCTTTCTGTTAAACGATCCAATGTGTCTAATGTTTCCTGTCTCCTGGTCCCTGATTTCAGGTCTTATCCTTCCATTCACAGCCCAATCCACACCTACCCCAATATCCCTAATATCTTTTGCAGGGAACAGACAATGGATGCTGGGGCAATGTGCAAATCTGGCAGCAAGCAAAGACCTGCCATGATCTTACTCTGTCGCTATCCTCTGCATTTCCCACTTTGCACCAACCTCCAGAGAAGTAAGCCAGTGTCTTCCTTCTTTCCTTCCTTGCAGAAGTGACCAGCCTTAAAGTAAGCCTTGGGACAAACACGAAAAGAAAACAGTCAGGAAACCACGGTAGCAACTGAGAACTTGATAGACTAACACTAAGGATACAAGGACCCATATTATCTGTGTTTTAACATTTAGGTCCTTTGTTTAGGTTTCTGTATATCAACTCCTCTTCACAAAACACTCTTTTGCTTACTCCTTTCTCCAATTCAGAAGATTCACCACTAGGTGTTCACAATCCTTAAATGCTGCACAACATAAATTGAGGAAAGTACCCAGCATATTCTAGAAAACAGTTTATACCGTGGAACTTGCAATTATGACTACCTTCTCACCTCCTCCTCCAAAACCCACCTTTTTATGACCCCAAATTGTGGAGAGATATCAAGGTTGACGAGGAAAGTGCATGTGAGTACAGAGGGAAATTTTCAGATTTATATTTGGATGCCTGACCTGCCCTAGGCTCAGTCACCCCCCAATTTGGGTCCACTCAATGGCGGCTGTCCATCCCCCATCCCCACACACCTCTAGGAATCCACTCTGTTTTCCCGCTCCAACTTTTTCTCAAGCTGCTCCTCGGCAGACGCACCCCGCTGCCTGAAATCGCCAACCTACCGCGCACGCAGGAGAGACTTTGGCATCAACGAGGCGCCTGTGGGAAGGGACAGCCACCAGGACGCGGGGCCCAACAGGCCCCTTGCCAGATTCAGAGCCCGGGGTAGCCAACGCCCCCGCCCCGGCGCCCCCCATCCCAGGTCGCGCTCCGCCATTTCTCCCGCAGCAGCCTCCCCCACTGCCCTCTCCCGGAAAGCAGGTTCGGGAGAGGCCGGCGCGGATCGCTTCCCCGGGAGCCCAGGGAGCCGCTCAGGCCACCTTTCTGGGCCCTGGGACGGGCCCCAGCCTGTCGCCTCCCAAATCTCCGTGGAGGTCTCCTGGAGCTGCGCACCTCTCTCAGGAACCGGCTCCGACCCGTTCGCCGCCTCCGCCTCCTCGCCAGGCGGCCGGGGGTGGGCGCGGGTTGGAGGGCGGTCGAGAGTGGGGGGCCACCCCGCGTCCCCACAGCACCCGCACTTGCCTTTCCAGGCTCGGGGCCCGGGTGGTCGGCCTCCCCTCCGCTCCGAGCTCCTCAGTCGGATTCCCACCGCCTTACGTGCGCACCGAATTGCAAAGAGGTGTCCCGCCCCCGCGCCGCTGCACCAAAGCCGGCAGGGGCTGCGCAGGATGCGGCACGAACCGCTGGCGGCGGGGTGTCGGGAAAGACCCGGCGGAGGGAGATCGCATGAATGGGCTCGGCGCCCCCTCCCCTCCCAGGGGACTCGCAGTTCTGAACTGGAGGGGGCGGGGCCAGGCGGAGCCCCAGCCTGAGGGGCGGGTCCACGCCAGCCCGCCTCCGTGGACCTCCGCGGCCCACTCCACGACGTTTCCGAGCGTACAATCTATGGGACTCCGGGCGGGGGTGGCCGTGGCTGGGCCCGCAGGTGGGGAGCTGCCGCGCTGGAAGCAGCAAAGGGTACATAAGAATCGCCCCTATGTGTGTGTGAACCCCCAGAGTGGTGGGTGTCTGCCCACCTCCCCCTCCCGCTTCACGGCCGCATCCTTTCTGGACACGGATGGGAGAATGCTGGCTGCGAGGGGAGAGGCCATCCAAGGCCAGACCGACCCTGAGGTCCTGAAGTGCTCCCCCTCAAGTTCTTTCATTGTTCAGGTGGCCAGGGAGCAGAGAAAGTGGGGAGGGGGCTTCCACGGAGGCCTCACCACTGCCCGTCTTCCAAAGGCAGGCCTAGACCTCTAACCCCAGGAGAGACTCTTGCGTCCAGATACTTTCTTGCAGCCACACTGCTTTTATCTCATTTGAAACAATAACATTTGTTGCCATTTTGCAGTCCCCACAGTTGGCCAAGAAACAGGGCGTTTCCCTGTCAGGACCCTCACGGGGTCATACAATCCTCCCTGTCTGTGGCCCCACAGCCAAGTGTCAGGCACCAGGTAGGGTGGGTCCTGGTTCCTCTGCTCTGTCAAGTCTTGTCTTGCAGTCCCATCCAAGCTCTGGTGATCTCTGGCAGTGTGGAAATGTGGCAGGGATTAGAAGCAGTTTAGGTCTCAGCCACTTGCCATACACACCTACCAAGTTTGCCCAGTCTTTCTTTGGAGAAGGCCCTATCATGCAACCACTTCCCCAAGATAGAGACCTGGTGGTTGTTGTTTTGTTTTTGTTTTTTATTAAGAAATTAGAAATATCTTCATGTACTGATATGGTAAAAATCACAAAAGCATATTTCTAAATTCAAAATTATGACACAAAGCAATAAATATGTTAGGCTAACATTTATGGGAAAGGGTCAGAATTTTATGTGTAAAATTTCTCTGGAAGGATACTGAAACTGATTGCATTAATTGATTATAGGGAAGGGTCTGGCCCAGGAGTGCGTTGGTTAAGAGCTGGCTTGGGACACCAGCTCTGAGCAGCAGGGCCCTGGTTGGGATACCACATTAGGGCCAGTGACGCTGCGCCCTCTACAGCTAAGATGGTGAACAACAGCTGGACCTGGAGCTGGGCTGCTGTGAGTCGCTGGCAATGTCATAGGCTTCAGCCCCTGCAGCAGTGGGCTGTCATAAAGCTACCACGAGTGGCTGGCAGCTGGCATGAGCTGCCAAGAGCTGCTGTGAGCGGCCGAGCAGTGGCCGGCGACTGATCTGCCTCACCTGGGAAGAGCGCAATGATAATACGTACATAGGCCAGTGAAGCCACATCCTCCCCAACCAGACTGAAGAACAAAAGGACAGCAACTTGCCTGTTCCCCTTCCCTGAGTCCCCAACGCTGTTCCCCTCCCCCAATTCCCCAATAAAATCTTTAAAAAAATTGATTACAGGGAAGTAAGTTAGGTAACTGGGAAAAAAGAGTAGGAAGGAGATGATCTTTTAAACTTTTAAAATTAGAACCACAGGAATATTTACCTAATCAAAAATAAGTAAATAAAAAGGAAAACACCTGTCAGATACTAGGTTAAAGGAAAAAATATTTAAAAGGTATCATTCGTGTCACCCATCCTTGCATCCACATCAAAGATGAGATGCTAGTGGAGTCTTTTTGATTCTGGTGAAATGAGTGGTTTCATATCATGATGTAGTTTAAAAATCTAAAGTGCGAAGATTTGAGAATGTGAAGGACAGTTTCCTCACATTAGAAAAAGGGAAGAATGCAATGGGATTGATGTATTTCTTGATTCAGATCTTCTGTAGGAAGAAAAATCTAGGAATAAAATAATTAAAGACCAAAAGGTGGTCATAGAAAACCAGAAGACAACATCTTTCAGGAAAGTAGTATAAAAATTAAAGAACATTAGCTCAGAAAAGTAAATGTTTTTGAGGCTTGGGGAACTGGTAGGAAGAATACAATGGAAGAATATATAAAAATAAAGTTATCCAAATTAACTTGGGTGCTTTTCAAATAGGTATTTCTGTGGGTACAAGTTCTAACCATATTCAGGAAAGGTAACAAGATACCAGACTGGCTAAACTCTGTAAAGTAACTCAAAATGGAAACTAGAAAGTCAAAAAGTAAAAATCGGGCCAGGTTAGTAAGATGAAAGGTAGAGAAATAGTATGGTTGAATACCATTAAGAAAGTTAACTCTAACACAGAAAATCAAAAACAGCCAATCAAAGCAACAGGTTTTTAATGAGCATCTAATAAATGTTCAGTACTATGTCCTGCAACTTTCTTTTTAAATTTCCTTTTGCATTTTTCAACAGTTAAAAAGTAGTAAATTAGGCAATCCAGAGAAAACTTTCCCCCCAGATAATAAAGAAGAAAACATTATAATCAATAATCACAAAAAGGCAGGAACTTTTGCTGTTGACTTTACTTCTTATGCAACGTCACCAACCCTCCTTAATCACCTCTCCTTAATGCCAAAGTCAACTGTTGTTAACCAATATGGTGTCCATATGTGATACCGGATAGGAAATAAAACAAGGGAAGAAAATGACCCCAAAGTGTTTTTAAAAGCTTTATATAAATAACAATATTAGCTAATATTTGAGTGCTATATACCATGAATTTTAGAATATTCTGGGCGCTGTGCCAAGTACTTTACATACATTAACTTTTTTATTCTTCCTCATAAAATCTAAGACAAACAAGATACACACACACACACACACACACACCTACAACCACAAGAACTGACAATTAAGTTCACGAACTTGTTGCAACGATGTTGATAACCATTTTTGATATTAGAGGGATTATTCATTATGAACTTGTACCAACTGAACAAACAGTTAACCAAAATTACTATTGTGTTGTCGGAAAAGTCATGACACATTTTTGCAACAGAAAACATAGGAAAAATGTGTCATGACTTTTCCGACAACCCAATATTTGGAAGTGCTGAAAAGGCTGTGTGAAAAAGTTAGATGAAAAAGACCTGCCCTTTTCGCCAACAATTCATGGCTTTTGCATCACAACAATCCACCAGCTTACACTGCACTGTATGTGAGTGAGTTTTTAGCCAGTAAACAAATACTGTACTGGAACACCCTCCCTCCTCACCTGATCTGGCCCTCAATGACTTCTTTCTTTACCCAAAGATAAAAGAAATATTGAAAGGAAGACATTTTGATGACATTCAGGACATCAAAGGTAATACGACTACAGCTCTGATGGCCATTCCAGAAAGAGTTTCAAAATTGCTTTGAAGGGTAGACCTGGCACTGGCTTCAGGGCATAGCTTCCCAAGGGGAGTACTTTGAAAGTGACCATAGTGATATTCAGCAATGAGATATGTAGCACTTTTTCTAGGATGAGTTCACAAATATAATTGTCACACCTCGTGTGTGTGTGTATAATTTTACAGATGAGGAAATGGGTGCTAGAAGTTACAAGACTTATCCAAGGTCTTATGGCTTCTAATGGCATTTTTAATACTATTTTTTTGGGGAGGAGGTGTCACAAAAATGTCTCTCTTCCACCCTCAATCTAGGAAAGAGGGAAATAGGATAGCTTTTTGGGGGTTAAGATTGTAAAAATCAGTACAGTTGAGCTTTCCATCCCCCTTGGCTTCCATGATACCATGTTTTCTTCAGATTCTCCCATCTCTATGCCTATCCTTTCTGTCTCCTGTAGGTAGAAGAGAAGAAGTAGGTAATCTCTTAATGTTCAAACACCTTGGTTCTTAGTCCTGGGCCGTCTTCTCTCTCCTCCTACTTTCTCCCCAGGTGACATTATCCAGTCATCCAATTTCATGGCTGTACCTACCAGTGGTTCTCAAACTTTTTAGAGACCTGGTGGTTTTTTATTCCTGTTCCTTTATCCCTAACCTCCTTCCTCTAGTGTTGAGCCCCTCCTTCTTGTGCTATGGGAAAATAGAGCAACCGTGATTGAACACGTACTGTTCCCCTTTTTCAGACCAAATTAAATGTCACTGTCTGTTGCATTATAGCCAATTCCGTTACCACCCCCCTACACTAGCCTCTGACCCATTAGTTGAGAGAGTGTCTCGGAAAACTGAGGCCAGATGGAATGATATCTGTAAAGCTCTCTCGGGGAGTGTCTCAGGTGACTGGGACCTATTGGAATGATAATAGTTATCTCCCCTGGGAGGACACAGTA